ATAATTCTTTTATATTATTAACGAAAGTATTAATGGTTTATAGATCTAAGAAAGTAATTAGCAACATAGAATTAAAGTAAAAATTATACATATATGTAAAAAATTTTCTTCATGATACAATTGAGCATTAAATATTAATTTAATTATATATAAATAAATTAATATTTAATATTGTTACAAAAATACAATATATTTATTTTTTACTACAATTTTTTCAATTCAAAAATTCTAATTTAGAATATTACATGACAATTGATAAAAAGATAATTTATTCAATGTATGTGATACAAAAAATTAATCAGTTATTTTCAAATACGTTACATGTATTATTATATCTAATGTATCATTAAAAATTAATGAAATTATCGCTTCTAGATTTTACGAATGAGCAACCGTTTAGTGCTATATAAACAAATTGATATGACAGATATGATATATTAATACGTTTCATATATTTTTAATCGTGTTTTTTTTTATTAATATTAAATTTTTACCTACGTTATTATCATTTCGTCGTCATCGTCATCGTTGTTATCATCGCCGTGATCGTCGTTATAAGCATTATCATCATCATCACCATCATCATTATCATCATCATTATTTCCATGAACATTACACTATCATCACTATCTTCACCAACACCAACACCACAATCATCGTCATTATCATTATCAATTATTTTACAGTAAATAAAAAAGTTTTCTGTATATTATAACTGCTATACATTAATTCGATTTTCACTTTATTGAAGTTTAATATTTTGTACATCTTTAAAAAAAGTAAATTTTACTTCTGTAGAATAATCTCGATTATTAATTTATTAATTTTATGTTACCAAAATAATATTGGTAAATTTACTGTAAATAAGTTAAGTTGATCGATAAAAATGTTCAGATTCTCAAATTTTTTTTTTCATAACACTGCATGCCTAATGAATGTACAAAAATCTCATTGATAAATTGATGCCCTTTGATTGCCATTGTCTTGAGTGTTGCCTCTAATTATTATGTTATTATGCTTTCCTTCAAATTAATTATTCACTTTGAACAAAAGAATCGAGCATTCTTTTTCGAATTCCAAAATGGGTTCGCTAGCTTTCGTTTTGCAGAATAGAATTTTTTTCTCTTTTTTTATTAAAAATAGAAAATTATACAAAAATTATACAATAAAAAAATAATTGGAAATCTAGTGGACCCAAATACGTATCGAGCCTATTTAGCGAGCTTATCGAGCCTAGATTAGATCAATAGATGAACGCTTTTTAAACAAGCACATTGAAAGGGAAAAAGGTATAAAATAAATAAGGGATATTTTATTATTATTATGTGTAACTCAATACGTTTTATTTCGTTGATTTGTTGATATATCTATCCAAAAAGCTATCGTTTAATTTCAAATTTTAACTTCCTAATTGGCAACGAAAGAAAACAATATTAAAAAACTTGATAGCATGCGTTTATAAAACAACCAGGAATCAGACTAATTAATACTAAGTTATTTAATATTAAGTTTTATACATATAACTTGCATATGTATACGTATTATACATATATATATTAGCATTGAACGCCCCTCTATTTATTTATTTATTTTTTTTTTTTTTTCATTTTCTAATATATGTGCGCTAAAATTTATAGAGTTACATAGGTTAGTTCTTTTTTTTCTTTTCTAAAAAAATTTGTAAAATACGTATTGTTTGTGAATAATTGTTCATTAATAATTATATAATCTCTATGTGCTTAACAACATTCAAAATTTTATTTCTACAGATCCTGAAGCATAAAATCGATGGTATAAGAAGAATTTCCTCGCATCCACTTTTACCATTATGTAAGTATATTATCTATAAATTTTAAACAATTTCAAACAGAATATAACTACTCAATATGTAAACAAATATGTAAATAAACTTTTTTAATAAAATTTTAAACAATTAAATTATTATTGATATAGCTGGATGATAATTCTCTAATGTATAAATAAACAGACTTGACTGGTTCTCAAGATGGTTCAGTATCTCTTTGGGAATGGGGACATCAAACAGCAGTAGCAACTCCTAGACCACCAGGCACTTTTGCCAAAGTAACACGTGTACGTTTCTCACAGCACGGAAATAAGTTTGGTGTTGCAGATTCTGATGGACATTTGAGTTTATTTCAAGTAGCTTGCAGAGAAGGAACTGCACGACCATTTTTCGTAAGAATTTTTATCTTTAATCATAACTTAATTAGTTTTTTTATCTTTAGATATATATATTACAAAAATTAGATTAAATGAAAATAATTTGTTCCGTTTCTGTCACCAGAATTATCAATGTCATAGTAAGGTGACGGCCGATTTTGTCTTCCTTGGTGCTTGTAGTTTAATAGCAACTGCCGGTCATGGTTCTGAAGGACGTAATGTTGCACTTTGGGATACTTTACTTCCACAAAATAAATCTTTAATTCAAGGTGCGTAATTTAAAGTCATTTTGTTTACATATTTTTGAAACATAATCCGATAATCGTTATAAATTTTGTATTATGTATATGATATTTATTTACCTTAATCTTTCTATTTATTAGGTTTCACATGTCATGAACAAGGAGCTAGCTCTTTGATACTTGCACCTCAACATCAGTTATTAATTAGCGGTGGAAAGAAAGGTGATATTAATATATTCGATGTTCGACAACGACAGCAGCGACATCGATTTCAGGCTCATGAATCGGCTATCAAATGTTTAGCTCTTGATCCACATGAAGAATTTTTTGTGAGTGGAGCAGGAGATGGTGATATTAAGGTAACATATAAAATATTTATAACATATATTAATAATAAATATTAATATTTAGTATATAATAATTCATATTAATTATTTTCCATCAGATATGGGGTTTAACCGTCCATTCTTTGCTTTATTCTTTTCCTGGAGAGCATCCGCGATCTAGTTTCTTTAAAAATATTGGACAAGTAAGTTAACTCAATAATGTATGTTATAATAATAATATAATAAATAATAATATTAATAATTTTCTCCTAGGGTGTAACACAATTACACGTCGATTCTGCTGGTCGTTTATTTTCATGTGGTGCAGATGGATCTATGAAAGTTCGTCAGTTACCAGAACGCGATTGCGTCGTACATACTTTATACTAAAGTAACTTAAAAACATGATAACATTCTGTTAGCAAAATATTTTAACAGTAAGCCCATTTGCCTATAAAACAATTACTACTAGTATAATTACCAAATATACAATTATATATTTTCCTTGTTAACTTTTTCTTAATCGTTTGAGATTGATTGTTGAATACAATGAAATAATAAACTTTAAATATCAGTATATAACAATATAGAAGAAGAAAAAAGAGAAAAATTATTATACTCATATTATAAATATGAATATATTCAAATTGTTAAGAAGATAAAATAATCACTGAAAATATTTTTTCCGTTCAAATGTAAATTTATTTACTATTAAAATGTTGTGTTTCTCTTATTGTAAGTAGAATTAAATATTTTTATCTGTATTATGTTTCATCGAATATTATTAAACATATTTATGCGCGTCTAAGTAATTCTCATGTTATATTTTTTTGATTTTCCAACTTGGACATTATATTAATTATTATTCCTTTATATAATGTATATTTCTGTACTATAAAAATACATAAAGTTAAAAATTAGCAAAAATTAATTAAATAATAAGTATTAAACATACTTATATTATCTTCTTTCTACATTCACAATCTAGTATTTGTATGTAATTTTCTCTCATAAGATACAATTGTTTTCGTATTTATTAGTTCCGTAATTCGATATTTATATTATAAAATTTTTGTTAGAGATTTTTTCTTATAAGGAAATATTTAAATGTATTATTCGATAAATGTGTAAATTGACATGAATGAAAATATAGATGAAATAGAACATTTATTATTTATCGTATTGTATCATTTGTGTACATACGATATAAAATATAAAAGAAAAAAATATAGAATTGAGTAAGAAAAAAAAAAATAGTTACAAACTATTTACAACTAACTTTTGTGTATATAAAATACGTAGCATTGTCAAAACGATTATTTTATGAAATATAATTTCATTAAAAATAAGTTTCTTTATATTTGATTCTCTTTAACATGTTTTGCATTTTTAATATCAATTATATATTTATATATATCATATTATATATATATCATATATATATATCAGTTATAATCATAACTTTAAAAAAACTTATCTTAGTTTTATTTTTTTTAATTTATTAATTTATATTTTCTCTTTTTTGACTCTTTTTAAATTTTTATACTTTTTTTTTATCAGATATTATTGTCATTTTTTTTTCGATATTTATTTTATTTTATTTCGATTTTTTTTAGGGTAAGGATTTTTTTAGGATTTTTTTTAGATTATAACTAATCTTAATAATCTATCCTATAATTAATCTTAATAATTTATCCTGCATTTTATGTGTTACTTGAATTCATGTATTCTATTTAAAATAAAAAATATAAAATTACAGATTAGTAAGTGAAACAAAAACTATATAAGTATATACTTTAATCATGAAATATTTTTATAATTGAATTAATTAATTTAAAAGCTTAGATAATTTATCTATTATAATAGAATGAATGTTTATATTTTGATATAAATAATATATAAATAATGTAATTTAAGGTCGACAACGTTCCAAAAATCGTGGATAAAGACATACTTCGCGTATGTGATACCTATTAAGAAGCCAACATAAAAATCTTTCAAGACCTAATCCGAATCCTCCATGGGGGCAAGTTCCATATTTTCGCTAAAAAAAAATTGAATGAAAAATTAATTCATATATTTATCATATATGAAAATTGATATTTACCTGATCAGTATACCAATAATATGGTTTTGGATCAATATTTGCATTAGAATAGCCTTCCAATAATTCATCATAATTCCATATACGCATCGAACCTCCAATTATTTCACCAACATTCGGTAAAAGTACATCCACTGATTCTGTAAGACGTTTGTTATCAGCACAACGTTGCATATAAAATGATTTAATTTCTACAGGAAATTTGCACAACATTATAGGTTCATTTATTGTGTCGGTCATTTTTCTCTCTGGCATTTCTGGAATGTCCTATAAATTAAAAAAATTAATGAATAAAATTATTAATTCCGTCATTGTGAAATAATAATCAAGAAATTTAAAAAGTATTGAACATACTTCACCAAATTCATAAAATGTTCCATCATCTTTGGTTATATTATTAGCCCGAAGATATTCAATTGCATCTTTGTAATCCATTTTTTTAAATGGCCTTTTTGGTATTTTAAAATCAGGATTTAATTCTTTAATAAGATAACCAAGATTTGAATTAAGCACACGATCAACGACATCACATATCATATCTTCTAATCGATTCAATAAGTCTTCAAATGTAATAAATGCATATTCTGCTTCCACATGTGTATATCTGAAAAATAAAAATTTGATTTATATAATAATTATAATATTAATAATATCAATATATATTTTAATAAAAATACCACTAAGAAATATAAGAAGCTTCAAATTCTGTATATTTACTCTGCAAGATGTCTTCGAGTCCTAGATTGTTCTGCTCTATAAGATTGTGCGATACAATATACATCGCCCATTGCCGGAAGACAAGTTTCTAAATAAAGCTGTGAACTTTGAGTCAAAAATGCTTCTTCACTATAATGAAAGATTAGATTATTGAATAATAATTAAATTATATTAAGAATACAATATTTTTAAATGAACAACTTAAATTCAAATACTGCTTACCCAAAGTAATCTAACTTAAATAATGTTGAACCTCCTTCTACTTGCGTTTGTACTAATGTCGGTGGAGTTACTTCATAACAACCTCTTTCATTGAAATGATCTCTAAATGCTTGAGTCAATACAGACCGTAGACGTAATATACGTGATGTCTAAAATAAATTATAATTTGTTATATTATATATGATATCATGTAATAAAAATTATTATTCCATAATAATATAAATTTTAATGTTACTTCATGATCTCAATTTTTTCTTTTGTAATTTTTACATTTTTTTAATTAAAATTATCCATAATAATAATCGAATAGTAAAAATTAAAGTTTACTATACTTTTCATATATAGCTTATTATATATTACATATACTTTATATATATATATTATATATATATAGATTATATATTATCATAATTATCATACGTTTTCACCACGAATCATAATATGTCTATTATCTAACTGGACATCAGGAAGAGCTTCTTCATTTAAAATGGAATCTGCACCACCAGGAGGAGATGTTCCTATTAATCTCCAAAAATCAATATGCAATTCATGCCCATCTGGAGCCTAAGAAAATTAAATTAAAAAGCTAAAAAAATTAAAAAACTCTTATTAAAATTACAAATACATTTGATATAATACATTTTTTCCCTCTGGTACAATCTTGAGAGTTCCAAATACTTCAATAGAAGCTTCAGTAGACAAGGTCAATGCATCATATGTTTGACATAAAGTATCAGTAAATACACATTGCAGAAAACCTGTTCCATCTCTCAAAGTGATAAACATAAGTGCTCTTCCTAAAAATGTTATATGATTAATTTCTATAAATATAATTCATAATATATAAATTATATTATACCTTGACGTCTAAGCCTATGTACCCATCCTAAAACTTTTATCCGTTGATCTCGATACTTAATACTTTCTCGAATTTTTATACAAATTGCAGATGGCAAAGTATTATCTTCTTGAATTATAATTGTTTTAGCTTCTTCCAAATTTTTCAATCTTTTTTCTTCATCCTCTAATAATTTTTTTTGTTTATCTTCATTTTTATACTCTTTCCTTGCCCAAATTTTATGCATTTTTTTTAATTGAGATTTTGATACTAATTCATACTCTTTATCATCCTTAGGAGAATTTTGATAAATTGGTGGAAATGGTTCTTTCCCTGCATGACACATTGCTCTTAAAATTGTCTTAAAAGGATTAGTTTTAGAACCATCACCTGTCTCATCGTTTCCATTCTTTTGAGAAATATAAATTGCATCTAAAGAAAAAATATAAAACTTTTTTATTCCTTTACTAAATAATAATAATTATGATAAATTTTATTTTCAAGAATTTAAAAAAACAAATATTTTACCTAATAATGATTCAGAAGACTCCATCGCCGGCATATTATTTTTTGATTATAATTTTTTTAAATTTATTGTATTATAATAATTATTTTAAATAATATAATTTAATAATAATACAATTTTACGATATAAGATTATAATTTTATGATACAAGAATATAAAATTCAATATAATTTGAAAATATTGAAACTTGAATGATGTAATTTCCACGTCGATGATACAATATAGAACTGCATACTTATGTAGAACTTACTTCGATAAAGTTCAGCATATATTGAATACGCTATATATTTTTATCATAGTTGCATACTAAGTTGCATTGCACTTCAGATAATAATGAAATAATTATTTACTTTTATGTATTATATTATAATTCAAATTTATATAATATTTATATGATTTAATTAAAATATAATATAATTATTTCTTTATATATTAAACAATAATCATTAAATTTTATTTATATTTTATTTTATAAATAATTTGTAATAAAAATAAATAATTATAATAAAGAATATATTGTTTAATCAAAAATATTATTGATTAAACAATCTTAATATTCGAAACAAACAAATTACTATTGTTACATTAAATGAATGATATTTAGCATTATATACAAGATGGAAAAATCGAAATACTTAAATTTACTTTAAAAAATAATAATTTCTTAGTTACGTTTGCTTTCTTGTAATTCACTAGATTGCGCGATGTGATAATCGCATATCATATATACCAACTTTACAAGTGGTATAGAAGAACATCATTTTAGAGTCGACTCAAAAGAAATGAGAAATTGATTGAATTACAGTTTTAATACAGAATGTGCAGAATTAGAATTTTTAAGAATTAATCTCTTAAACAATGGCGGGATTGGAAAGTTACGAAAGAGTATATCGAGGAAAACCTATTAAATCTTGGGAAACTGAAAGTAATTTTCCTCATACTTACTTTACACAAGAGGTTATTCGTCCTTTGGAAGTTCCTGCTGTGCATCCTTTAGTTGAAGATAGTCCTCCTTCTGAAGGAGGTCAGTTTTAATCAAAATATGAAATTTATTAAAATATAATAGAAATTTTAACAGAGAACTTTTTAATTTTTAATCATTGATGAAGTTAAAAAAATAATATCTTGTACAGATCTTGCTGTAAAAAAGTATATGGTTGCTGGTTGTGGATTAGCAACTTTAATTACTGAAACTTTGTTAGTTCATCCACTTATTGTTCTAAGGAGACAATGTCAAGTAAATCCTGGATTGAACAAATATCATATAATACCAATTACTTTGGTACCTGTAGTTGTACGGCTTCATCAAACTCAAGGAATAAATACATTATGGAAAGGAATTGGATCAGTACTGCTTGTAAAAGGAATGTTGTTAGCTATTGAAGATTTCATTTCTAAAATAACACCATGGCCAAAGTAAGGTGATCTTTGTATGATCTTAAATATATAATAATTTCTCTCAAATTTTTATAATAATAGGTATAAAATAATAACAATAATAATAATAAAGAAATATTTATTAATTTTAGGGAAATAACATGTAATAGTTCATTGAAAGCATTTGGTCAACACGTGCTTCTTAAATGGTAATATACCAATATTATTACATTTCTCATTTTAAAAATTACAGAAGAAATTAATAGAAAATATGACAGTGTTTCTATAGGTTTAGTAACACCATTTTATTCTGCATCATTAGTGGAGACAGTACAATCTGAAATTGCATCTGAAAGTCCTGGAATATTAGATGTTTTTCGAGATGGTGCAATTCGTTTAGTTGAAGTGAGCAATAAAGGCAGATTAATTCCCATTTATTCTCTTCTGCCACCTACAGTTGCTTATGGAGTATCCAAATATCTTTTTACTCTAGCTGTTCAAGGAGTTACCAGTCGTATTATGCATATTAGACAAAAACAATCTCAAGAATTAAGGGTATGTTTTATTTATTGACAAAATAAAATTTTATCTTGAATTTATATAAAATTATGTATTTAAATATTATTTATATGTAATATCAAGGGTGCATATAGCAGGGACTTGCTATCAGAAACTGTTGCACAAGATATAGAATTACAGTCATCATTAATTTCTACATTTATGGCAGAAGCATTGTTTTATCCTTGGGAAACAGTGATTCACAGACTTCATCTTCAGGGTACACGAACTATTATTGATAACCTGGATACAGGACGCAGCGTAACACCATTATTAACAGGATATAGTGGTGCAAGCGATTGTTACAGTACAATTATATCTACTGAAGGTCCTCTTGGTTTATATAAAGGATTTGGTGCTCTTATTTTGGAATTTTCCATAAACCTTGTCATAGTGAGGGTTGTTAAATGGGTACTGACAGAATTAAGAACATTATTAAGACCAAAACCAAAATCAACACGTGATCCATCACAATGGTATTATAATGATATATAAAAGAGCATTGATATTAGTTTAGTAATATCCTTTGTGTGTATTGATCAATCTAGATATATAATGCATATTGTATTTATATATATATATATATAAAATTGTTATATTATATTAATTATTTTTTCCATTTATTATTATTAAATCAAATCAATAATGTAACACTTTCAGTAATTTTAAACACTTTAATCTTTTTTGATTTATTGCAAAAAAATGAATCAAATTTTTCCAAATTATTGTATATATAATTTATGAAACTTAAATATACATATTTAAATGAGAAATAAAAAAATATTGTTATTAAAATTATATATATGAAAAAATTATATTTATTTTATAAATTTTTTGCAAAGATTCATTTCATATTTTATTTAAAATACTTACGTCATAAAAATTAAAAATTGTAAAGATGCAAGTTATGAAACTATTCTAAATTAACATTGGAAAATTATTTTACGCCTTATGATTTTCAACTCTTTATAATGGAAAAATAAATATATTGGTATTTTTGAAAATATAACATAATATTTACTTTCAACATTTGTTTACAATTTTATATGTATACAGTTTTTTTTTAACTTGCATCATATATTACACAGCCTTTCATTTACATCTAGTTTTTATATATATGTAAAATGAAATGAAACAACTGACAATAAAATCTGTCTCTAAGAAATAGTTAATAATCATTTTAGAAAATACATGCAGTTTTTAAAATCTTATTTTTTTTTTCTCCATTTTATTTGACATTATTAAAATTTATCATCTATATTTAAATATATTCACTCTCAATTTTAAAACTTAAATATATTTTATTTAATATTTGATAAAAAATTTTTCTTCTAAATTTTTGTTTAAATTCTTTCAATTATTTAGAAATAGTATCAAAGTAAAAGTTGAATCTATTTTAGATTATTTTTTTTTCTACAAGATATATTTATGTAACAATATATAATGTATCTGTACTAGTTTCGTGCAATTTTGATCATATATTTGTAACTTTTGTATACTTTTTAATAGTTTTAATATGGTATGTATAGAAACCATTTATATATACTACATAATATTATATAATATCCATAAAATAACAAATATTAATTTTGTTTTCTATCTGTAATAATAGTGTATAGAGCAAACGCGTAAATTATTATAAATTATTATATAATAATATAATTATATAATAATATTATTATATAATAAATTATTATAAATTAGAGATGCAAAAAGAAGATGTAAAAATATTGCATTTGCAACTTATTTTTGCATTATAATATACTAATCTAAGTATATTTAAATGATTTTAATTTAGAAAAATCACAATTTTTTCTTCATTTTGTAAAATGAAATTTTTTTATATATAGTTTTTATATATGTGTTTGCACACATATTTTTATATATAATCTTTATATATATTTAAGAACAACTCAGTAACAAAATCTTTTATATTGTTACGAATTACTTGAACACAAAATACATACCACAATTGATTTGATTTACCTATCTATAACTTTTTATGAAATAAGTTAATATAGAATTATAATTGCCATATATATAATTTGTGTGATGTAATCTTTTGTTTCTTTTCATTAAAAAAACATAGATTACAATCAACACATTATTTACAAATTTATATTGATCAAAAACTATTATTGCAGAATGTGAATTTTGAACAATTTTCTTAAAAAATCGATCAAATATGTAATATATCTTCAACATGAATTATTTGTTAATTATGTATATGCTGAGCATGTAATTCTTCCTCAGTAACATCACCTCTTCTGATATATTGTGGTTTTTCTTGTCCTCGCACACACCCTTCAGTTACATGAACAGACATTACATCACTACCTGGCACTTCGAACATAGGTTCTAAGAGTAGTGATTCCATAATAGCTCGAAGCCCTCTTGCACCAGTTTTTTTTTCCATTGCTAATGAAGCAATTGCATTTAAAGCTTCAGATGTAAAAGTTAAGTCTACCTATGAATATATACAAACAACTTATACAAACAATATATACAATGTTAAAGTGCATATACGCAAGAATTAAATAAATATAATTTTAAATGTAATTAGTAAATGGATTATTGAATTATATAATATGCTATATTAATATAGTAATTATAGTAAAAGATTATTAAAACAATAATTTGTACCTTATCCATTGAAAATAACATTTGATATTGAGGTATCATAGCATTTTGCGGCTCAGTCAATATTCTAACCAGCATATTTTTGTCAAGAGTATGAAACGGTACCAAAACTGGAAATCTGCCAACAAATTCAGGAATCATACCAAAATCAATCAAATCTCTTGCTTCAACTTGCTGAAGCAATACATCTTTCTCTTTATTATCTTTTTCTGTAGAAGGTGACATATTTGCAACATCTGCTAAATTTGCAGCTCTTCTCCCTGGACTCTCAAAAGATCGTGATGCACCAAATCCTAGATATTTTTCAGTTTTACGTCGTGAAATCAATCTATCTAATCCATTATAAGCACCAGAAGCAACAAATAAAATATTTGTAGTATCAATTTGCAATGTATCTCCACGTAATTTTCTAGAGCTATTTCTTTCAGGTACGTTCACAATCGTACCCTCTAACATTTTCAACATTCCTTGTTGGACACCTTCTCCGCCAACATCGCGTAGTTGATGTATGCCAGGAACAGCACCAATTTTATCAACTTCGTCTAAGAATACAATACCCATTTGCGCTCTATCTACTACGTAATTGGCATCCTGAAGTAGTTTTGCAATAACGCTTTCTATATCTTCACCGACATATCCTGCTTGTGTCAGTGTCGTGCAATCACAAATTGCAAAAGGTACATCCAAACATTGAGCTATTGTTTGCGCGAGCAATGTTTTTCCACTTCCAGTTGGACCAAGTAATAAAATATTACTTTTTTCTAATTTTAATTGATGTTGCTTACTATCAAGAATATCAGATCCGGAAATTGATTGATTTTCGGCTGATTTATGTTCGTTTCCTGTAGGATATTGTTGAAATCCAACGCCGAGCGAATTTCCAATTGTTGAAATGTGTAATAAATCTATGATAATGAAAGATAAACATTATTAAACTTTATATACTGAAATAATTACGTATTAAATTAAAAATTATTTTAATAACAATTTAAATTAAAAACATGATACAAAAAACATTATATTGGAAAAACCATATAAGTTGAATATTAATTATTGTCAAAAAAACATGTTATATATATTACATTATTACATACAAAATGAAAAATTATTATTTACGTGGTTTAAGACCTCTATGTGTGAAAGGATGATTTAAATCTTGTGAACCAGTTGTATTAATAGAACTTTGCATTGAATTTTGTACTGGAAAGTTATTGTAGATTCGTTTATAGTGATTATAAACAGCAACACTTAGAACTTTTTTAGCATATTCTTGACCTATAACATGCTTGTTTAGGTATTCAAAAATCTGTAAAATATATATATTAATAGATATAATATAATATATTGTAAAATTATATATAAAATTCTTTGTTCTTTTAGAATAAAAATTTACTTTTTTTGGTGGTGGTGGAGGTTTCCTGTAAAATCCTTGTTTGGTATCATCTGGTCTTAAAGCTTCCTTAAGGCTTCTTTTTGAGTCTACCTCTGATAATACAACAAAAAAGTGATGGCATTTTTCACATTTAACGAATCTTGTTGATGCTAATAAAAAAGATATTTTTATGATGAAAAAAACATTATTTTTTTAACTTATGCAAAAAAAGATATTAAGGCATTATTTACTTACATACAAAAGTTTCTACATGTGTGCAAGGATCACCACATTTTGGACAAGTAAGAGTATTTTTCTTTCCTCCACCATTTCCAACAGAGGATACACCACTATTATTATCTTTACCAGGTGGAGTGGGTTCACTGGGTGCTTTTCCCAAAGTATTACCAATTGTTAATGATCTAATAACAGCAACTCTCACAATTTTGTGAACTAATAAACATATAATTATTTTTTATTAAAATAAAACAAATAATTAATAATATATAATTTTAAAATATTATATGTATTATATGCTCACCATGATTTGTTACATGATTTGAAGATGCAATACGACCAGCATTGATGACACAGCAACGAACACAACTCATCTTTGTTTGTTTTTCTTACACAAATATAATGTGGAAGACAAAAAGAAAGATTTTGTAGTAATTATTAAAGTGTGCACTTGAAACAAAGCCTAAATCAAAGTAAAATATATTAGAATGAAATATTTTTATATTTTTTAGAAAAATATATTTGTATTGTTATTATTAGAAAAAACTTGGATAATAAAAATCTAATATATTATTATTTGTATAATAAAAATATTATACAAATAAATTAAACTATTATAAAAATATTATAAATAAAAATATT